GAAATTAGACTGAATGTACTCATTTTCCGTTACCATATTCTCAATGAACTAAGATTATTCTTATCTTGGCAGCAGCAAGAACCTATGGACTCCTAACATTGATGAATTACAATTCCCAGCACCCCAATTTCCACTATGACTGGCAATAATCACAGGGGTCAGTGGGAAGTTGTGGTTCAGTAGCATCAAGAAGCACTAGCAGAATGGTAAATACAGTTCACTTCCCTTAAGCACTCAGAGCAGAGATATACATGGGTTATATTATGTCATGCCTCAATATATGGTGCTTTGACTTATACACACATGCACACGCATGCACATGCACGCACACACGCACACACACACACACACACACACACACACTCTTGAAGATGAGGAGAGTTTTATACATTATAGAGTTTATCCTGTGTGGCATTTTCCATTATGAACAGGCACCCTGTTACTAGTTTCATCCTTATTGGAAATCTTCAGATGTGGTTAGTCCATTATTATTCTATGAGGTTCAAACCCTCCTGGTAGTCACTGTAACTTCATCAAGACATCTGATGGGCCTATTTGCTAAGAATCCCATCCAACCCTACTGCATTCCTTTTTTGACTGAGGGCTTTTCTGTATAGTCCTGCAGTTGTATCACATTGAGAGCACATCACATTAAACTCATCCCCGTCACAACACAGAGGCTGCCTGCTTTCCTGCTATGCTTCAAAAGGAGTGTTTTCCAACTTATTCTAGCACAACCTGGTAGTGCTGCTTTGAGGTGCTCTGCTTCTACTTGATGTAGGTAATCTCTATGTTCCCGCTGGTGACTGTTCACACCTGCCAGTATGCTCGCTCCTCTCTGGTTGCTGTCCTTCGTGGCCATTTTTGGGCAAGGGAAGGAACAGGCCCATGTAAAAACTAAAGCTCACGGGGCTTGGAGAGGCAGGTCTCAGGCATGATATGGATCATTTCATACCTCTGCTAAGAGCTATTTTGAAGCACTGGTTGATTATTCCTATCTGCAGCTGCATATGATACAGTGGTCTTTCAATCCTTGTAAATTAACAAGACTTCTGGTACTTTCCTGTTCTAGTCTAAGTGAATAAAAAACTCTGGTAAAACTCTGGTGTTTCCATCTTCTGCTGTTCCATTGGTGGACCTCTCAGATCAGCAGGCGTCATGGAAGAGGATGGAGTTCATACATGGAAGATCACGCAAAAGACCTATACGTGTGAATGGAAACACCACATCCTCAAAACCAAACTGTGGAAAGAAAATCAATTATTGCTTCCCTGGATGGATGGAAAGGGTAAAGCAGCAAGGGAATCTATCAGGTGCTATGGGAACAGACATCCAGCCAGCATCTTTGAAATCTGCATAGCATTTTTTATAAGTTGGTTTCATTTCCAGCTGGTTTCAGCATGAGACACCAGTAGTTTAAGGCTGCTATACATTAACATCCCTAGTCAAAAGCTAGAATTAGCATCATCAACTATTAGCGCACAAATAGTTAGCTAGTTTCTGCTTATTTTACTCTATAGTGTTTTCAAAGTATGAGATCAAAAGCATGTATCCTGTGATTCATCACTTTTCACTGTAACTTACTTCCATATTCAAAGCGATTCTAACCTATTTATTTAGTGGATGGTACAGTCTTGAAAAGCAGGTAGTGGATATATAAAGAATTCAACTCCAGAACACTAATATTTATGTGCTTCAATTCTTTTAACATCCAGGCCCTTTATGGCTCTGGAAAAATCTGTTATAATTTATATCATACTTTTCCAGGTGATTTTTCTATGCTTACTCCCAGTGATTGTAAGAGACAGCCAGCACTCAATTGCAGGGTATAGTTCAGAGGTGGGTTTCAGCAGGTTCTGACCAGTTCTAGAGAAGCAGTAGTGGACATTTTGAGTAGTTCGGAGAACCGGTAGTAAAAATTCTATTCTCTGCCTCCCAAGACCCAGATGATTGGAAGGAAATGGGGATTTTGCAGTAACTTTCCCCTGGATTGGGGAGGGAATGGAGATTTTACAGTATCCTTCTCCTGAAGTGGGGTGGGAATGGAGATTTTACAGTATCCTTCCCCTGCCACGCCCATCATGCCACACCCACCAAGCCATGCCACGCCCACCAAGCCACACCCACAGAACCGGTAGTAAAAACATTTGAAACCCACCACTGATGTAGGCCCTTCTTGGAGCTAGTATATAGTTTATAGTTTAGTATAGTTTATGCAAAATGTTTTTAGTACCAGACTTTAGAATTCATCTCCCTGAAGATGGCATAAGCTGGTACTTCTCTGAGCGCTGAATAGACTTCTGGCATACAGAATTTACACTGATTTTTATGAGTACTCGAAAGCCACAGTCTAAAGTTCAACACAACATTTAGAATTAAAGAATGCCAACATTTGGCATTATTTTGGACATTAAACTGAACACAGCTGATGGTCCTACACAAAGGTCCACTCCTGGGTACTTCAGGTTTCTTTATTTTTTATTTGTGTAATTTAAGATGCCACACTGGGCAGCAGGTCATTTATTGCTTCAACTGTTGATTTGGAATAAAAAATCCTTGATGTGCTGTTCACCCCGACTGTTGCAGTTTTCTCTCTCCCTGTCCTTCAAACATACTTTAAAAATGAAAATAAATGTGGACCTTTAAAGGTCACTGCATTTCCCCTTCCTCTCAGAAGGCAGAATCCCAGCTGCCAGAGTAAATGTGCATATCATTCAGAGGCCTTTGTCTGCATGCAAATCAAGTAATGCTTTGTATGGACAGTGGCCTTTTTCAGTGTCTTGACTGCCTCTCTTAAAAAAACAACAACAACAAGCTAACAAGCCTTTCCAAGCTGTATTCAAAGGCTACAAATGTGGAAGGGTCTATGATGCCTTTGATTTAAACATGTTTCTACCTACATGCAAAAAGGATATGCAAAAAGGCCAACAGCCCTTAGTGCAAAATCCTAACTGTAAGTCTAACATTCCTCTGCTTTTAAATAGAGTGTATGTTGTCCTTTCTTAGCCTACTGTACTTGCTTTGAATTTTGCAAGACAGCAGTGAGATGAATTTGTGGAACCTCCTTTTATGTTTTTGAATACTCACCACCCCGTTGAGTTGCAATTCGTTTTTTGTCTACAAAGAAAGAAGTTTTCTAGGGGCAATCCATCCAGGAAAGGAAAGCATAATTCCACTGTATTTAGTTTTTTTTTTTTTCCAAATCTGAGAATAACATGTAGCTTAAGGAGTACAAGATGGCTGTCTTTTAACACCTGCTTCCTTTGTTCTCTCCAGAAGTGGCTACCTACAATAGCAGCCTGGCTCAATCTAATGAATGGACCAGTCTCCTCACTTCACTTCTTTTTAAGGCTATGAGGATTGGGGTTTGAAAGACATCTCAAGGACCACTAGATGGTAGCATAGAGCTACTGCCATCCAAGGATCCTCGAGATATTTTGGATGGAATCTTATGGCCCGAGATTTTTCAAATTTCAAAATTTTATCATATCTGAAAAAAATCATATATATATATATTTAAAAACCGCTAAATAAATGTTTTAATAATTTATCCTTCAAACTAAATGATCCTGCAAATCTTCAAGGTGATATGTCACTTGGAAACTTGCAAATTGAAATGGCATCTCAAAGTCAAAGAGCAGGCTGTCACATCACCTTGCTGGATAACACGGAAGCTGAATTCCTTGTCAAAGCAGGTCTGCCTTTCCTCAATTTTCAACAAGGCAGAGAAAACTATTGGAAATTAATCAAGGAGATAACCAACCTAGAACTAAGGAGAAATTTCCTGACAGTTAGAAAAATTAATCAGTGGGAGGACTTGCCTCCAGAAGTTGAGAGTGCCCCAACACTGGAGGTTTATAAGAAGAGGTTGGATAACCATTGGTCTGAAATGGTATAGGGTTTCCTGCCTGAGCAGAGGGTTAGACTAGAAGACCTTCAAGGTACCTTCCAACTCTGTTATTCTGTTAATACTCCTTCCAGAGGAAAAGTGATTCATCAAGGCAAAACACAAACACATTAACTTTACTTTCTGCCATCGTTACTAATGGGGATCAGCTCTGAATGACAACGCAACCAAGAATTTATATTTTGGGGGAAGCAGGAGCAACTTTTCTTCTTAGTATTACAATAGCATTAGTTGTGATTCTGCAAACCAAAATGTTGTCCATCTAAAATGCTATTCTTGTGCATGGTCTGCTTTCAAGCAAGAAAAAAACAAACAGCCCGAAGAATTATTTACAGGAAACCAAAAGTGGCAAAAGGAAGTTGTGCATTGTAATATCAGAAACTAGAGAGGTGAGGTCTATTTTTAATCAGAAAACAAAGGCAATTTTTTAAAAACTATTGGTCAGGGCCACAAAGGGTTAGGTTGTACTTCCTAAAGTTATGAAAGCACTACAAAAGCACCTATCAAATTAACTGGGCACACTCAACTTTTGCTCTTTTTCTGATTACTGTATCTATAAATACATTGGTGAAAACAATTTTGAAAATGCACAGCTATGGAAGGAATTGTATTTCTTTTCCTTTTTAACACTCCAGGAAGCTACCTCCGGTCCAGTGTTTTCGAAACTTGGCAATTTTAAGATGTCTGGACCAACTCCCAGAATCCCCTAGCCACTATTAACATAGCTAAATTTGAAAAACACCAATATTGGCCAATAATGCCATGCTCAGTAGCAGCAACTCTCCAGATGCTCAAGAGAAACCTATTTTCCATCACCTCCTGCCAGTCCCCCGTTTAACTACAGCTTGACCCAAAGACCTTTTGCAGCAATCGAGTCATGTTTCACCACTGAGCTACATCCAACTCCTCTGTGCTAGCTGCTCTTGAGAAGGATGAGGAGAGACATCTTGAAGTGCCATGAATACTTCTCTCTCCACCTAATAAGCAAACAAGGAAACGCCCCTGCATCTCTTTTCATGCAGAAAAACAAATATGTTTTTTTCCATCCAACAAAAGAAACAGCACCTCTAAATAGACATTGTTTGTAAAGTACCTTAGAAATGTTTCCTTGTCTCTTCTGCTCTTCAGTTGCCTTTTCTTTCCACCTTGAGTTTACATATCCCCCTCCCTCTCACTCTCTTTCTTCTTCATAGTGTGTCTGCATTCCAGTGACAGCACTCACCTTCTCCAAGACAGATGCTTCTGCCCCAGGAACCAACTTACACAGAATGTAAAATGCCCCAATAATTCTGAACTTCCTCAATGTCATTATGCAAATCTGCAGCTTCGTCTCAGATAACAAGTGAAGGGCATTGGCTCAATTTCACTTTTACAGAATGCAGTGCCTCCATTTCCAAACACTGTCTAAATTAACTGAGGGTTGAAGAGAATTTCCTAGATTCAGCTATCTAGGAAAACGTATCTTCCGGCAAGGAGGAAGGCAATTTTGGTTATAGACTATTCCATTTAAGTGAAAAGGGTGAAAGGTGTTTTATGTCCTTACTGTTGATCTAAGCATTTCCATATTAGCAGTGCCAATCCTTTAAAAGCAGCTTGAAATCAATCTGTGATCTTCTTCATAGCCACAAACTGAGTTGTCATGGAATCTGGTGAGACAAAAATTTCCATATTTCCATTCCATGAAAAGAGAAATAAAACAAATTATGTACAGATTTTTCTGCCCTGAAAAAAGTGTCTTATGATCTCTGCTCGCACTCACAACAGTTGCAGCATCCCCATGGTCACATGATCAAAATTTGGGCACTTGGCAACCAGTTTGAATTTAGGATAATTGCAGTATCTCAGGCAGTGGTGGGTTTCAATTTTTTTTTACTATTGGTTCTGTGGATGTGACTTGGTGGGCGTGGTATGGCTTGGTGGGCATGGCAGGAGAAGGATACTGTAAAATCTCCATTCCCTCCCCAATCCAGGGGAAGGTTACTGCAAAATCCCCATTTCCTCCTAATCAGCTGGGATTTGGGAGGCAGAGAATAGATGGGGGTGAGGCCAGTCAGAATTTTTACTACCGGTTCTCCAAACTACTCAAAATTTCCGCTACCAGTTCTCTAGAACTACTCAGAACCTGCTGAAACTCACCTCTGATCTCAGGTCATGTAACTGCCGTTTCTGAGGTTCCCAATCAACTTCTGGTAAGCAAAATAAATGTGGGAAACTGGGTTTGTTTGATGACTGCTTGATTCACTCAACAACTCCAGTGATTTAACAATTGTGACAAGAAAGATCATAAAATTGAGTGTGACTCAATAAATGCCTTGCTTAGCAACATAAAGTATAGTCCCAATTGTGGTTGTTAAGTCAATGTCCTTCTCCACTCCTTTAGCATTTGCTGCATTTGTTTATTCAAATGAAAATAAATTGACAAGCAATTCTTGTGAAAAGATAATAGAAAACTATTCAGCACTTTTTTATTGAATGACCTGTTTGGACATCTGAAATCTAGGATCTAGGACCGTGATGGCGAACCTATGGCACGGGTGCCACAGGTGGCACACGGAGCACATCAGTGGACACCAGGGGTGGGTTCTAAATTTTTTTACTACCGGTTCTGTGGGTGTGGCTTATTTTGTGGGTGTGGCTTGATGGTCATGTGACAATTCTTTAGGATTTAGCAGAGGTACTGGTCTACCAGGCTTTTAACTGCTTACAGAGTTGTACCGATCTACCCATTTATTTTTGCAGGCACTGGTCTACTCATTTGTTTTCTTTTAACACTGATCAGCTGTAGGGTGGCCTTTTTGAAGCCCCGCAGCAAGAGTTTAAACAGTTTTTTTCCCTCTAGCCATCAGCTGGGACTCAGGAGGCAGTGATAGATTGGGGGTGGGGCCAAATAAAAGGTAAGAATAACGCGGGGGGTGGGGGGGCGCAGGGGGCAGGGGGCGGGGGGGCAGCAAAAGATTGGGGGTGGGGCCAAATAAAAAGTAAGAATAATGCAGGGGGGGGGGGGGGCAGAACCGGTTCGGTGACATCATAATGTAACCGCTACCGGCTCGGGAGAACCGGGCCGAACCGGGAGGAACCCACCACTGGTGGGCACGCGAACATTGCTGTAGCTCAGCTGGTTCCAAACTAGAGCCCAGGCCTTATGTGAGGTATCCCTAGTCACATCACAACTCATAATCGTCTTAAGGTTTTGATATAGAAGGCCTCTTGTCTTGATGACATCTCGCTGTGTCTCACTTGTGACTTGTAAAAACAGGTGGCGTAATGAAATAGTTGTTCAACAGCTTTCAAAGGTCCTGTCCTTTGAAGGTTTGCTAAGTAAACAATCCAGCATCTGATAGAAGCATTGTGAGACATTGTCACTTGGGTATTTAGAGGGGGTTTTGCATGAATTTTAAAACTTCAAAAAAATTGTTCTATTTCCATGTTGGCAAGTTTGATAGAAGCCATGGGGGAAGGTCTGACATATTTCAATGAATGCATACATTGAATTAATCCTTTCAGCTGAAATCAAGAAGCGTAGCTGCATTTTAACTGACCTAACAGATACACTGTGGGTTCCTTGCATGGCTTCTAGATAGTCGTTTCTCGGTTTCTGCGCTTCAGAATGATTGCATTTGTCCTATGCTACTCACACAAGCTGCTTATATGAGATAATTCAAATGCATAATTTAAAACAGATATGACTCAGAAGCAGGACTTATATTGGAGTCCTTAGACAAATAGCAGCAGACAAATACATTCTGCCTGCCCTCCCTTCCCATTTTATCAGTTTGCCCAGAATAGGGCAATTAAATAAGTTGTGATGATTTACTGATTTTCATCATATCAATTTAGTGAATTAATTCGCACAGTACAAGGAAACAGTATAAACAGCTTCTATATAGCAGCATAGCAAACCTACTCAACAATAACTAATCTATTACATTCAGTGGAGGTTACAGATAAATGAGTAATATAATTGCAGCCTAAAACACCTGCTTCTTCCTTATATTACCTGCTAGGACCACCATTTTTCCAAGCCCACTCAAATTTAACCGTGGCATAAATTTTTGCCTACAAAATGCTTTTTCTCTGCTGTTATCACAATGTTGTCTTCAGCTTGTCTTCAGACCATGAGTAAGGCCAGTTTATGTTGGCCTTAGATCAAGAGTGAAATGTAAAATTCACTGTAATGTAAAATCAGTTCTGTGGGTGAGGCTTGGTGATGGTGGGTAATGTGACTGGGTGGGTGTGGCCAACTTTTTTTTTTTAAACTTTTCAAAGCATTTTTTCTAATGCTTTGAAAAGCCTCTGCAGATCAGGCAACTCAGCTGGGATCGTTAGAGAGGCTTTTTAAAAAATTCCTCTCTGCCATCAGGCAACTCAGCTGGGATCGTCAGAGAGGCTTTTTAAAAAATATCTCTCTGCCATCAGGCAACTCAGTTGGGATCGTCAGAGACTTTTCAAAGCATTTTTTTTAACCACCTCTTCGGCCAAGAGGTTACAGAAAAAAATGCTTTGAAAAGCCTCTGACAATCCCAGCTGAGCCATGCGATCATCAGAGGCTTTTTTTTTTTATTTTAAAAGCATTTTTTCGTTGGAAGAGGTTGTAGAAAAAATGCGTTTAAAAGTTTTTTTAAAAAGCCTCTGATGATCATGTGGCTCAGCTGGGCATAGTGTGGGTGGGGTGGGGTGCAGGGATTTTTGCTACCGGTTCTCCGAACCACCCTCGCCATCGCTACCGGATCTGGTGATCCAGTCCGAACCGGGAGCATTTCACCCCTGCCTTAGATGATGTACAAAGCTGTTAAAGCAGTGCTTTCCCCTCCTTGCAACAACATCCAAGGACAGCCTCAAAGACAGGAGATTCAGATGATCCCTTTCCGGTCTTCCTCTTTGCAAAGAACATGTGCTGAAACACAAGCATATCTTATTGAATAAGATATTAAATACAGGTAGTCCTCAACTTGCAACAGTTCATTTAGTGACCATTCAAAGTTACAACAGCACTGAAAAAAGTGACTTATGACCATTTTTCACACTTACAACTTTTGTAGCATCCCCATGATCAAGTGATCAAAATTCAGATGCTTGGCAAGTGGTTCATACTTATGACCATTGCTGTGTCCCAAGGTCATGTGATCCCCTTTTGCAACCTTTTGACAAGCAAAATTAATGGGGGAGCCAGATTCACTTAACAACCGTGTTACTAACTTATCAATCGCAGTGATTCACTTAACAACTGTGGCAATAAAGATTGTAAAATGGAGCAAAACTCACTTAACAAATGTCTCACTTAACAACAGAAATTTTGGGCTTAATTGTTGTCATAGGTCGAAGACCGCCTGTAGTTCTCTACTTAGGGCCATAACTGGAACCAGAATTTCCATTACTAAGCAAGGTGGTGCCTGGTTTTACCTTTTTCCCACAGTTGTTAAGTAAAACACTGTAACTGTTAAGTGACTCACATGGTCATGAAGTGAATTCAAATTCCCACATTGACTTTGCATGCTGGAAAGCCTGCTGGGAAGGTTGCGAAAGGTGAGGACAACCTATAATTCAGGGGTGGGTTCCTCCCGGTTCTGCCCGGTTCCGCCAAGCCGGTAGCCATGACAATATGATGTCACCGAACCTGTTCTGTCCCCCCGCCCCCCCTGCATTATTCTTACCTTTTATTTGGCCCCACCGCCAATCTATTGCTGCCTCTTGAGTCCCAGCTGATCGGCTAAAGGGAAAAAAACTGTTTAAATTCTTGCCGCACGGCTTCAAAGGGCCGCCCTACAGCTGATCAGTGTTAAAAGAAAACAAATGAGTAGACCGGTGCCTGCAAAAATAAATGGGTAGACCAGTGCCTGCAAAAATAAATGAGTAGACCAATACAGCTCTGTATTGTTAAAAGCCTGGTAGACCAGTACTTCTGCTAAATCCTAAAGAATTGTCACATGACCATCAAGCCACATCCACAAAATAAGCCACGCCCACAGAACCAGTAGTAACAAAATTTAGAACCCACCCCTGCTATAATTCATTTAGTAGGCTGACTGGGTAGATTTTACTTTGAATTAGGTATATGTATGTGATCATTGCCTTCTCTTGTGCTCTTTGTATTTCCGTCCTGGCAGTGTCATCAAGTCACATAAACAGGCTTGAATGGGATCAGCGTAAGCAGTTCTGAAATCAGAATATATGTGCGGGCACTTCCAAACTGTCTGTCACTACTTCCTTGCACTATTTCCTGATTTCTTAGAAACAA